TGACGCAGTTGACGACGCCGTTGCACACGAACGACTCCGGGATGCAGGTCCCCGTGGCGCACATGTAGTAGCCCGGGAAGCATTCTTCGACTCGCAAGGGCGCTTTCGATCCTGGTGGGTGGGTGGAAGGGGGTGAAGGGGGTGTGAGGGGGGTGTGAGGTGAAGGGGTGAGGGGTGTGAAGGGGGAGGGGAGAGGGGGGTGAGAGGTGAGGGGTGAAGGGTGAGAGGAGGGACTGAGAAGGGGAAGGGGGAAAGGGGAAGTAGGCTGTGAGGGAGTCGGGGGTGAGAGGGGAGGGGAGAGGGTTGGTGAGAGAAGGAAGGAGTAAGGGGACGGGTGTTGAAAGGGAAGGATGAGTTGGAAAAGGGGGGAAAAGGGGTGGGAGGGTGAAGGGAAGGGAGGTGTGAGATTTGGAGGGGGGGGGGGTGAGATTGTGTTGTGAGGTTGAGTAAGTCGTTTCTTTTTTAAAAGCAGATATGTGAGTTGTGTTTTTGTGTACAAATATTTTAAAAATCCACTATATATCAGTGAAAAAATATGAATACACAAACAATTTACACACACATTCAAACTCCCATGTACAAACAATCACACATACTCTTACGTGCACATACAAACACATACAAACAAATAAACACACACTTAAGCATACAAACAAACAAACACACACACTTAATGTTATTGTCCCATACACATTTACATACACATGTGCACTTATACTCACACACAAGCCGATTTGCACATCAAATACACTTATAAATAAACATACATTAATGACCATTGAACTCAAATTACCACATATTAATGAAAAATAACATTTTCATTTTTCGAATAGATTTTACGCGTGGATAAATTGAAACCTGAATATATTAATAAAAATGAAAAAAAGCAAAAAAAATTCAATCAAAAGAAGACTTTTTTCATTTAGTCAATTACGTATTTCATTTTTTTTTCTTTTCTTTTTAGACAAGTGCCTCGCGAGATGCGCAGCGCGGGAAATGACCCTTTGAGGCAACTGTACCCGTTCTCAGCTGATAAGAATGATTTCGAAAGGCTAAATTTTGTTCTGTTTTGCTTTATTTTGTTGTCTTAATCCTTATATGATCCTTTTTTTCTTATTTTACATCTCATACTAATCTCTTTTCAGTTATATGATCTTCATTTACTTTTCTCCCCTTTTAATCCTGCCAAACCCAACGCTTTCTCCCCACACACCCTCCTCCCCTTCCCCTACACCCTTACTGCCCCCCCCCCTCCGTTTCCCACACCCCCTAGACTCCACACGTCCCCCCACCGCCAAAACACCCCTCCCCCTCCCCTCCCCTCCTATCCATCTCCACACACTTTCTATCCCCTTTCCCACAGCTCTACACATCCCTAAATACTTCTACCGCACCCCCAACACCCTCACCACAGCCCCATACTCTCCCCTTCCCCTCCCCACACCTTTTTCCCTCACTCCCCACACACATGCCCTAATCCCCTTCCTTGCACCCCTGTCCCTCCCCTCTACCCCCTCCTCCTCCTCCCCCTCCTTCCCCATCCCCCCAAATCCCCTCCCCCTTCCCCACACACACCCCTCCTCCATACTCCTAACCCCCCTCTCCTCCCCCAAACTCCCCCCATCCCCACCCCTTCTCCTCCCCAAACACCCCCATCCCTCCATCATCCATCTCCCCCCCCATCCCCGACCCCTCCCCCAACACCCCCATCCCTCCATCATCCACCTCTTCCCCCCCCCCCATCCCCGACCTCCTCCCCACCAACACCCCCATCCCTCCATCATCCACCTCTCCCCCATCCCCCGACCCCCTCCCCACCAACCACCCCCATCCCTCCATCATCCACCTCTTCCCCCCCATCCCCTCCTCCCACCCAACACCCCATCCCTCCATCATCCACCTCTTCCCCCCCCCCATCCCCCGACTCCTCCCCACCAAACCCCCATCCCTCCATCATCCCACCTTCCCCCCCATCCCCGACCTCCTCCCCACCACACCCCCATCCTCCATCATCCACCTCCCCCCATCCCCGACCCTCCACCTCCCTCCATCATCCACCTCTCCCCCCCATCCCCGACCCCCTCCCCCCCACACCCCCATCCCTCCATCATCCACCTCTCCCCCATCCCCGACCCCTCCCCACCAACACCCCCATCCCCATCCCCTCTCCTCCCCACCCACACCCCCATCCCTCCATCGTCCACCTCTCCCCCCCATCCCCGACCCCCTCCCCACCATCATCCCATCCCCATCATCCACCTCTCCCCCTCCCCCCACCCACACCCCATCCTCCATCATCCACCCTCCCCCATCCCACCATCATCCACCTCTCCCCCCATCCCCCACCCCCTCCCCACCAACACCCCTCCCCCCCCCACCCACCCCCCCTCCCCCCACCCCCTCCCCCCAACCCCCCAACCCACTCACCGCAGTTCATCTCATCTTCTCCCGTGACGCAGTTGAGGACCCCGTCGCAGAGGTCGGCCTCGGGGATGCAGACGCCGGTGTCGCACTGGTAGAAGCCGGGGAAGCACTCGCTCGTCCTCGAGTCGGGGAGGATCGAGCCTGGAGGGGAGGGAGGGGAGGGGGGAGGGGGAGGGAGGGGGAGTGGGAGGGGAAGGGGGAGAGGGGAGGGGGAGTGGGGGATGGGGGAGAGGGGGAGGGGAGGGGGAGGGGGAGGGGGAGAGGGGGAGGGGGAGGAGGGGGAGGGAGAGGGGAGGGGGAGGAGAGGGGGAGAGAGGGAGAGAGAGAGAGAGAGTTTGTTGTTATCTCCGCATTTCCTGGTGGTCCTTATTGTAGTAATTGTATAATTTGGAGTGCCATTATTTGCAGGGTATTTTTTAATATGTTCACAAAAGTCGTTTGAAAATGTATTTGGACCAAAATTTCATTTAAATTTGTAGTTCATTTACCGATTAATAGTATTTATACTTTATCACTGAACTCTGTCTTTGAATTCATGTAAAGAAACGAAAAAAGATGAAAGATAATAAATTAGGAGATAAGAAAAAGATTTGCACAGATGGTCCCTTATCTTTCTTTGGGAATTAGGACAAGCTAAAATGATTTAAAAAATACGAGAAATTAGAACTGTACCGCTTTAAATCTAGAACGTGGAGGTGGCCGTACTCTGATTGTCATTTAACGATAAAAGAAATTCACTGTTGAAATTGTTGAAGAAAAAGTATCAATGAAAGACTTTCCAAATTAGAATGTATATGCCTAATTACATTTTGATATTATGGCTTTTTTTCTAAAATATGTATTACTTTGAAGTTTAATTCCCAAAGTCCTTTATTTAATATATTTAGTTGAAGTTCAAATTCATTGACTAATGTAGCAATAGCATTATGTTACGATTATTGTGAAATTCGATTCTTGTTGACTTGATATTTGTTACATACACATGGCATCATTTGATTTTATTTCATAAACTCGGTCAACTCTAAACCTAAGATTTTTTACATTACTGAGCGACTCGTAAACTCAAAATCCAGAGAAAAGTCCTTTATTTCAATCCGGTTCCAGTGACGGGAGAATCGTCTTTGTCCCGCGAGACGAGGCCAACCAGAGTCCAATGCTGGAAACGAAGAGGAAAGGAGGAGGGAGAATTTCAGCCCCGGTCAACGCACGCCCTAGATTAGGGTCATCACATACGCCAGGTCACTCGAGATTCCCACTTCCAGAAGGTGAAAGACTATCTGAATATCTTGAAATTTATCCAGGCAGGTCCTCAACTTGGGACACTGAGGTTTCCACAGCCTCAGGATTAATTGTTCTAAATCACCAGCACCAAAAGCGAGTCTCCGGCATACAAGGATGGCCTCGACCGTCAGGAGGGCGGTGGCTCTCGGAGTGCCACCCACAGGCACGTATGTCGAAGGAGAAAGAGGAAAAAAGGTCACCTCTTTCTCCTAAGAAAAAAAGGTCACCTTTCTCCTAAGAGGAAGGTTATCTCCCTCACCTTAAAAAAATGAAAACAAATCTGGACATCTCTAATAAGAGGAGTTACCATGGCTTGTGGGTGATCGGTACCTTCAACTCAGTGTGTGCAATGGCTCAGTGGCTTAAGACATCCGAATTACTGATTTAGGGTTCGGTAGTTCGAGCCTTATGTCTATCCCTAACGTAGAGTGGGAGGGGGGGGTGTCACGCGAAGACTGCAGTTATAATGAACACTAAATAAATCCGGGCGACACAACACATTTGGCCTGGGAGCGTACGGTAATTGCACCTTTCGTCCACGAGATAAAACTATTCCTAGCGAAGTCCAATGACGCGATGGAGAGGACAACCCCAGGTCTCTAAGGATGGTAGTGACCCAGAATGCCCCAGTCCTGAAGGAAAGGAAGATAATTCCACAGTGCCAGTTCTCCCACTCGAACTCTGACCCCGGGCAAAGAGGGGATAGAGCACCTAATGGGAGGGAAATGCGGCACTATCAAAACTTAAGTCGTAGCACAGAGCCTGATGTACTGGAATAGTGGAAAAGGGACAGAAAGGAGGGAGGGGGGAGAGAGAGAGAGAGAGAGAGAGAGAGAGAGAGAGAGAGAGAGAGAGAGAGAGAGAGAGAAGAGAGAGAGAGAGAGAGAGAGAGAGAGAGAGAGAGAGAGAGAGAGAGAGAGAGACGTATAGGGACGTATAGACAAAGAGAGGGGAGACCAACGAATAGACAAAGAGACAAAGAGTGAGAGGCGACAAACGAATAGATAAAGAGACAGAGAGAGAGGAGACAAACGAATAGACAGAGAGAGAGAGAGAGAGGAGAGACAATACTTACCACCCGTACAGGCAACAAGCACCGCCAAGAGCAAACCCGAGGTGTAGTAAAGCATAGTGAATCGTGTCCCGAGACCCTGGTGTCCAATCAGTAGAGCTCTCCCATTGGACACTCTTATATAAAGGTGTGCCGAAAACCTTGCCAGATGTAGACCGATTACCACACAAAGAAGGGTAAGAGTACAGTAATACGAAAAACCAACATCATCTGTTTCTGTGGGAACATTTCACATGGAGGCAGCAAATGTTTGTTTATCTGCCAGTGAGTAAACCTGTTGTGTCTGCTTTCGTAATTTTTTTTTTTTCTAGATATTACATTTCTGAAAATTTTGCGTTAATGATATATTTAGAGTATCTGAGAGATGGGCCGTCGGAAGAGGATCACGACTTCAAATTCATGTGACCTTGATTGCTCTCTTCAGGGCTCATCTGTCGGCATTATTTATTTATTCAGTAAATATGGGAAGTAATCAGTTGGTATTTTAGGAGACCGTTCCCATAACATGCATTTGAAGGTCATTTAATATGCATTTAGACTGAAACCCTCTCAACATATGGCAAAATACACCCTATCTGTGCGTTGGGTTCCCTTATTCACCAGATGTGGGGAAAAATTTTCCCATTGTTAGGGAATTAGACCATTGGCCATTCGGGGTTATGCCTCTCAACCATTATATACTAAACAGGTGATATGTTTATGATATATTACATAAACTTCGATTGACAATTTAGTAGTGTTCTTGGTACTGACTGTACATGCTGTCTTAGGAATTCTTATGAAATTGAAAAAAATATATATATTCTATTTTTTTTTTCTTTTTTTTTTTTAGTAAAGCCTCTCAATTTATCTTTTGAATCTTTCTCACTGTCTGTCAGTATATACATAACATTTTGTTGTTGTTTCAAGGAAAGAGGAAAAAACACCATAAGTAGAATTGTATATTTACATATAAATAAAAGCCATAGGTTCACAACCTCTTAATCTTTGTATGACCAAGAAATAAGTAGATGATTTCTATACATTATGGTTGTCCACGTGAAACAAGAGCCGCTGTGAGGGAAATATTTCTAAGGGTTTTGATTATGGTTAAATGCCTGGCCAGTGCTGAGGAGATGGGCAGCTGGATATTTTTTTTTTCTTTTCATTCAAACACTGTAAATACCTGAAGAAGAAAATTCAAAGTTCGGCACTTATAAGGAATTTGAAAAATCTTCATCTGACACTTTAGGAGGAAAGAAAGAAAACTTGGAATGGCAGACCACCTCAGTAAAAGACAAATTTCAAATATAAGTAATCCATTAAACTCAATGAGAATGACCAAAATACAAAATTAAACCCATCAATCTATTCTCTTATACAGAATGAAAGAACCTGAAGTTAAAAACTAAAATATCTTGTTAATGTCTGCCAGTAAAAACGCACAAAAACAACACTGACCAGCAGGAGCCCCTCTCCAGGTAAAGGATATACAGGGGGGGCGGAAAAAATTACGTTGGAAAAACAATCTGGTGCTTTGTAATCTTTTTTCTCTCGAGGGAGGGAAGGGAAGGAAAGGGAGTGGAAGAGGGGATATGGAGGGGAGGGAGTGAGGGAGGGAGGGGAATAGATAACTGGTCTATTATACAGTGGAAAAATATACACACATGCTGCGTTAGCAAAATACTTATGACACATGGTAAGGCCTTGACTCCAACCCATGGTAGAGAGAAAAATATATAATAATAATAATAATAATAAAAATCAATTTAAAAAAAGAAAAAAAAAACAGAAGAACAATGGGATTAGTGATACAGATACAGAAAAGAAAGACTTAATAAAATCTGGAATGTAGAGTCTTGGTGACTTTGTCTCAGATGGCCCACTATGGTAGCAATAACGTGGTTCTGAATGATCCCCTTTCGTGTATGTGTAAAACCTAAACGTTAAACAATCTCCATACATTGTAACAATGACACATAAAAGGAAAAAAAAAAAACTCATCACAAACTTCTAAAAGGTGACATAAAAAAAATATCTGAAACATTTACACTCGTTTAAAATATTGTTTATATAATTGTCCTCACTGGCTACATTGATTGTAATAAAACTTACATACTTAACTACACTTACAGATGATAATCAGCTTTCTCACACTGGGCCACCTGCTCTGTCACACTACCTTTCTCCTTCTCATTCATTACCTCATAAATAATGAAAAAAGTGTCTATATTTTACAGTAAAACATACAAAGAATTTGTTAAAAGGATTTCACATAAAATCCATATACAAGTACAGTATTTGGTTACCTACACAAGATTTAAAAATACACATTCTAATATAAGACAATATAAGGCTGTGGTTACGTTTGGTTTGGCCGTATGACGTAAAAATTGCATTTTTTTCTCCTTTTTTTACTCTCCAAATTTTTTATTTCTGTCCAGCTTTTCCCAGGGACATACATTTGGATTTTTTTCTAAGATTTTATTCAAGTTTTTTTTTCTTTTATTGTTTTGTTTTGAGTTGCGATACACGGCATTACTCTTTTAACATCAAGAAAAGCCAAGGTGACAGAGAGAAGAGGAAGTGAGAAAGAAGGCAGAAGATGGAAGAGAGAAGGACATTATAATGCCATCATCATGTCAGGCTTGTACAAATGAGGGGAGAGATAGAGAGAAAAAAAAAACTAAAATGGTAGAAGCTACAATAAATTAAAGAAATGAGAAAGAGACAAAGAAGAACCTTGCGCAATACAGCCTTCGAGTCACTCAAATCACTGGAAAAAAGAGTTTTACTTTTCTTTTCTCTAACATGTATCACAACACGGCCACAGATCACCTCTAAGTTGGTTCCTTGCTTCAATCTTCCATGGTTTCTTTTTCTTTCTTTTTTTCCCATACCTTTCCTGTACTTTTCTTTCCCTTTTTCACTTTAATTTTTCATTTCTCACCTTTATCCCTGCTTTTTTGCATTCTTTTCTTGCACCTAACCTTTTTTCTTACCTTTCATTTATTTCTTTCTTAACTTTTTTTTTTTTATTTCTTTTTCTTACTTTTTTCTCCACTTCTCTTCCCATTCCCTTATTTTTTCATTTCTCTTCTTTCTTCTCAGCCAGTCAAATGCTGTGACATTCTCACACAATTCTTTTAATATTCCAGTTTTAAGAGCCTATTTTTTCTAACCACATACAACAAACACTTATATAGTCTGGTATAATTATCACAATCCGAGTTTTTTCAGGTTCCACCACTTTGAATACTTGATTCAAAACAACAAAAAAATTTACATCACACCTATCAAACTACCCTTAGTAGATGTGGGTGAACACAAAAACTAAACAAAGTTATATTTCCTGCACACTGCTAAAGAACATTTATTCAAGGCCTTCATAGGTCATCCACTGAGACAAAATCTGAAAAATATCTGTACATAACAGGTACAAGTGTGTGTGTGTGTGTGTGTGTGTGTGTGTGTGTGTGTGTGTGTGTGTGTGTGTGTGTGTGTGTGTGTGTGTGTGTGTGTGTGTGTGTGTGTGTGTGTTGTGTGTGTGTGTTTGTATGTGTGTGTGTGTGTTTGTGTGTGTGTGTGTGTGTTTGTATGTGTGGTGTGTGGTGTGTGTGTTTTGTATGTGTGTGTGTGTGTGTGTGTGTATGTGTGTGTGTGTATGTGTGTGTGTGTGTTTGTATGTGTGCATGTAGTTATGTGTGTGCATGTAGTTATGTGTGTGCGTCTGGTTATGTGTGTGCGTCTGGTTACGTGTGTGTGCGTCTGGTTACGTGTGTGTGCATCTGGTTACGTGTGTGTGCGTCTGGTTACGTGTGTGTGCGTCTGGTTATGTGTGTGTGTAAGTGGTTATGTGTGTGAGTGGTTATGTGTATGAGTGGTTATGTGTGTGTGTGGTTATGTCTATGTGTGTGTGTGGTTATGTCTATGTGTGTGTGTGTGTGTGTGTTTATTTATATCTATTTATGTGTGTCTGTGTGTGTGTGAATGCCTATGTCTGTGTGTACATGAGTACAAGTGTATGTAAGTATATGTAAACAAAAAACAAAAACATAAAGAAACACATCAAACAAGCAAAAACCCAATGTCCATTCCTTGCTGTTCATCCCTTGTCTGAGGTCTGTGGTCTAGTACTTGTTTAGGTAGTAGACATGGCCAAACAACTTGGCAGTTTGTTCCACTCTGAATATGCTATGTCTCAAGCGCTAATCTCGGTAAGAAAGGAAACTAAGTGAGAAGCAAAAGAGCAGATAAAAGAGAGATAATAACGGTAAAATACAAAAACGAAGCAGAACAGAACATCCTGTCGATTAAAAAATGAAAAAAAAAAAAAAAAAAAAAACAAGATGGAATATCAATGGAATCAAGGCAATTCTCTATTTCTTTTTTCTTTTTTTGTATAATATCATTTAAATAAATAAGGCCCTGTGAGCTTGATGATGCACAGGGAATTATTTAATACATATCAGAGTCCTAACACCTATTATCTGACTCAATTTGGTACAAACCATACCAAACCATATAACTTCCTTGTAAGTTTCAGCCTGTAATATTCTCGCAAACAGAAGAGAAATAAGTGAAACTAGACGGAATATCCCTGTCAATATTGATAAAATCTAACAAGAGAATGAATAAATAAAATAAAAAAAACAATGATGTTGAGTGAAAAATGACAAGACCTAGTAATGGCACGCAATGAAAGAGGTCCAAGCCACGCTGTCATCCTTAGACCACTGCAGAACTTGACATACGAGACACTGATAATCTGTAATTACATTCTGCCCACAAATACCATCGGACCAACGAACAGGCCTGCAGTCACCACACACTTTGCGACAACTGTGGATCCCAGACTGGCTACATCACAAACCGTTTGTGATAAAATGGCCACAAAATGAGGTTAAATCACGAGAAAAGATGACATACCAATGTCAACAGGACTGGAACATACACAACCAAAGAGAGATAACGGGAAACCTCATGACCTACTCGGTTACATCAATGGCATTCTAATTTTATAATGCAGTGATACATTACGAACTTAAAACACACAAATGGTGCTATCATTGTGCCCTCCAAGTCACCCCTGATATGTTGCTTTCATTTCACTTACAAATATGACCCAAGCTTTGAAACCTTGCAGAATGGATTGATAATGTTAACAGCTGGTACTTAAACACAATCAACAGAGGTAGAGGTCAAAAGACTGCATCTAAAAAAGGTTGATGTAGATTCTACACC